TGTAGTACAGTAGTGTCAAGACGATTGACATGTTTAGATGAGATCTTCCCGGAGCGGAGCTGTATTGTACAAGGACATGGCACCAAACGAGTTGGATCGACTGACTCACGAGCTGTTTTACTTGTTCGGCCGCGCAACGAAGGCGGTCAGCAGGTGTCCACCGGCTTATTGTTCCAACATTGCTGGCGAGCGAGCCCGTGCTCACAGGCCTGAGGTCCTTGACTTAAATGACATTGACTAGTTACATGCCCACGGTCGGAGCGGATACCACTACTGCGACAGTCAAGTGCATGAGGCACTCAAAGACGGCATGTACTACGAATAATTAGGGAATGTAATGTAATGTACTTTATTTACGCCCGGAGGGATTATCCCTAAAGGGAATGAATGAATGAATAGTTAGATTACGCCCGGAGGGAAGTCCCTATAGGGCCTTGACGGTTGCTAGCCACATTTCCATACATTGGTACTTGACACCCTAAGCCCCACGTTTGTCGTCTTATCGCTTGATGCTCAACACCATCTGTCGCTCGGCTTTTTGCTCAAAAATTCTCTTATACCCTTCGATCTGTTCTTCGTGAATTGACCTGTCTCTTCCTGACTCTGGCGTCTGTCCGATGATGCAGGCTTTCTATCCATATTCCATACTCCATATGGAACATTTCTCGTATGGATTACGAACCTCTCTCCGTATGGAAACGTATTCCATACGTATGGAATACAGGAAATGACGTCATATGCACATTAGCACTTCCCGCATTAGGAAAAGCGCGCGGTGTCTTGCCGGTCATGGCTTTGTCCGATGTGCCTCTACCCTATTCCACATCGACCAAGGCGCTTCGATGCTGGATTTGTGCCCCGTCTCGGGGACCTGAGCGACCTGAAGGTCGCTGGACGCAAAATACAATACTAATAATAATAATAAGTCGATCCTGGATTCCTTTCGCCGTGCAACACGACATTCTCACAACCGGCACAACAACTTTTGGTCCCGGCCGTGTTGAGGGACTGCGTCGCTTTGGATGATGTCGGCGGGGACTAACATTCTTCCGCTGTATTTCCATACCTATGGAATACAGCGATCTCATATGGAATACGAATAATCCATATGGAACGTTCCATATGGATTAACTTAATCCATACGCGTATGGATAGAAAGCCTGCGATGATGCACAGACCACTCTCCTCCGCCGCGATTGACGAAGAGTCCACCTGCCTATAGCCGTCCGGTGGAGCTAACCTACCAACTGTGGGGCAACCACAGGTATAGGTAGAGGGATTATGCTGAAAAGAAAGGTTGAGACGAAGAGTATGCTGTCAGTATGTCGACGCTCGTGAACTGGCGAGGTCCCGGTGTACGCCGGGCAAACCGAGTCTGTAGCCTCATGCGCTCGTTCCCGCCTCAGGCCGAGGGAGACGATCGCGTACGTCGTAGTTGTTGGTCCTGCATATGTGCCGCCTCGGCAGGCCATATGATCGTTACGTATCGTTATTCGCGTGTTTGGCTCTCCGTGGCATTGCTTTTGCTATTCTTGGCATCGCTGCTGTTCAAGCCACCGCTCTCTGCGATTCTTGACATCGCTCTTGCTGTTTATAGTATCGCTCTTGTTCGCAGTGTCGCTACTGATACCCGCGGTGTCGCTCTTGCTGCCCGTGGCATCAACCTCGGGCCGCTGCTGTCGAGACCAGCTTTCCAAATGAAGTCGAACTCTCCAAAGTCCTTCATTCGTGCTCGTTAGTGGCCAGTCAAGGCCTAACAAGCTAAAGCATGATCATTTGGCCTGCAATTACCCCGCTCCCTAACATGCCGCTAACAGCTGCAAGGAGAGGGGGGTTTTTGCAGGGGAGAGTTCTCCCTAAAGGGAATGTAATGTAATGTACTTTATTTACGCCCGGAGGGATTATCCCTAAAGGGCCATAACGAGAGGCTATTTGCTCATTCTGCCATAAAAGCCGTACACCTAAAGCCCAACAATTGTTTCCTTCCTTGGCCCCTGCAGCCTCATTCCGCGATCTGACTGTCCTGCCCTGAGGTCAT